GTAGTGCACAGGAGGTACGAGGGGGTTTGTTTGCTCACGGGAACGGTTTTATTGCAGCGCGCTCTACAATCTCTGGTTGGGTGATTTAGAGGAGTGAGGGGCACACTGTCAACAAAACACATTCTGAATGAATCCAAGTCGGCAGGTCGATTTGAGCTACTTATGCATAGTAGAATATGTTCCCGTTACTTGTGTGCGCCTGCTATTCACAAGCACACAGTTACTGTCACATTTATATTTCTTTTTTCAATGCAGAATGACCCTCTAGTAAATTCCGAAACTCTAGGGAAAAGGATGATCAGGCACCAAAATTCGAAATAACAATTAATCAGCAAATGAATGGGCGATGGTGGTAAAATGGTGTCATCAAAACAGCTACCTGGATGTCTTGAACGCTCCACAACCACCTACCTTTCCCCATTCTACCCGAAAACTTTGTTTTCGAACAACCAATCCGAACAAGAATAGCCGAACTCACGTGATTGGTCAGAACCACCAATTAATCAAGACGGTCGAGAACAATTCGTTTTGTATACGCATGCTCATGTTTTCTTTCTCTCTCTCACGCTACGCTATAAATGACCACGCTTTTGTATAATAAATGAATTTCGGTATGCTTACGGTTCTGTTCTTTTTCATTACTTGTGAAGTCGATAGTTGGACGAGAAACCTGATCGGGAGACGAACATTTGAGAATCCAGTATCGAGACCGTTCTGTGCGGTTATAGCACTAATGTCTATCTTCACACGGGACCAATCCATAAAGGCAAACATTTTCAACAACTTCTACCCTCTTGGCTCCTGTTCACATTTCGACACCAAGTGATAAACCGACTACGAACCGGTACCTTTCAGTTCGCTCCAACTACAGCCAGCGGCACACAGCGAAACGACAATGGGGATGCTGGGGTATCCGAGTCGGCCAAAGGAGATAAGTGAACATGCGTTTTCAGCCTATAGGGAGACTTCGGTACGGTAGAGCAGCACGAACTGTGACGCAGCAGAGGTGACTGTCCACAGGAACTTGTACGCTTTCCCGCCTGTACAATTACACCAAGTTAACCGGTTTGACAAATTCGTGTTTACAACATCGTTCCTCAGGCCCACTGGGCTAAAACATCTCCGAAGTGCACACATGACTTTTAGCAAGCCTGCGCCATCGGTGAGTGAATACTCCCGGTCCAGTCAGTCTCACAATCAAGTTTTATATTTGCTGCAGGTAAAGATCTTCATCATCATCGTACAGCGAGATACAGTGAAGCGAACTTCACTGATCGCTGTCAAGCTCACAATGTTCACAAACCAAGTAATAAGGCACAAGATGGAAAGGGATTGGGTCTACTCGGAAGGAGGTAAAGAAAAAGAACCTCTATGGTCAACAAGGTGTACAATCTAAGTGTGCATACATACCTTTCTACACCTGATAAGAAGTGACAACAAGAACACCACTGCTGTGGGTTAGTCGCCATATTCTTCAGTGTCTCCAAGCAGCCAGTTGTAGTCTTTTGGATCCCAACCTGGAAGACGGGAGACACCGACTCTACCTAATCGCTCTGTGCATTTCTTCATGCCTCGTTTCCACGTCATCTGTTGACCACCACGCG